GCTGTGCCCTCAGCAGTAACCCTTGTTGCTTGCTTGTGCTTGGACTTTGTGTGTGTGTGGGCTTTGCGTTTGTGTGAACCTTGTTGGATGGTGGCTTTGGCATTTGCTTTATATATAAAGCGGGGCGCGAGCCTTTTTCGGTAAACCTTAGCCCTTGGTGGCAACAATTATATGTAAGCCTTTTTCACTTTCTATCACTGCGGTAGATTACTTGCAAGATTAAACTCAAATAATGCACACGTCTCCCACTGCTGATTAACGATCTAAACTGGCAAAGAGAACCACAAGAAATATACATATATAGATCAAACAAAATGGCATGCATAGATCTAAACATAAAAAAAATTCATCACATGATCAACATCACCGCTACAAATACATCAGATTAACCATAATCATGTATGGCAGCTCATATGGCTATTGTATTGGACATCTAAAAACTTCAAGATGAGGAGATTACAACGTTGGCTACTGCCATGAACGATAGCCCAAGGGTGGACTAGTCACAGCTCATCTTGGAGCTCGAGGATTGAGGTTGGTGATGAAGAAGGTGACTTCTTCCTCTGCAGAGTTTCAGATCGTGGCTGAAAACGAGTATCGCCACGAAAACGTGATGTGACAGTGGCGAAAAAATGCATGATAACTAGGTTTGGGGTTTTGCAGAATATCCATGTCATCGGGCACCGGAGGCACTCTGGGGGTGCCCATAGGCCACATGCGTCCTTGTAGGGTGTGCGCCTACAAGGGGCGCCTGCACCCTGTGGGGGGCACCAGGGTCTGTCCCCCAAGTCCTCTCCCTGCACGAATCTTTCAAGACCAATTTTCCTTGATTTTTTCTCAAACTTTTTCTATGGTGTTTTCTTGAAATATTAAAACACAAAACAAAAAAATGACACTCGGCATTGTCTTAATATGTTAGTCTAATAAAAATCAATAAAAACTATGGCAGAGTGTATGTAATTGATTCAATGTAGCACGGATCATACAAAAATTATAAATACGTTGAAGACATATCACACATGGATGATTAATTTCGAATCTTATCCACATAGTAAACTTATCTCACACCACCACACTTGAAGAACTTTGTCTAGATTGTCAAATCGGAAAAAAATACAACACAAAATTCGTGTGAAACAGCGAGATGAAGCTAGTGGCCAAAGGAAATTTCAAACGATCGTCCGTGTGTGTTCGTTGAAATTTGTTCAAATAACATGCACACATGAACACGTGTATACAATCTAGTAGGGAGACGTAGATCTACTTGTTTACTATCGTCGAAGCAGAAAACACACAACATAAAAGTCGTGTGAGATAGGGAAATGAAGCTAGTGGTCAAATAAATTTTCAAATAGTCGACCATGTGTGTGAATTTGCAAAAATTCATCCAAAATAACATGCACACGTGAACACGTGTATAATCCATTATAGAGACCTAGATCTACTCTTCCACCACTGTTAAAACAGAAAATGCATAACACGAAAGTCATGTGAAACAGCGAGATGAAGCTAGTGGTCAAATAAGATTTCAAGGCCTTTTTGATTCGCGGGATTTTGAAAATGTAGGAATAGGAAAAGTATAGGATTCGAGTGACATGTCAACTTGAATCCTATAGAATTAGCAAGGAGTGTTTGATGCCACATGACAAACAAAGAAATTGTAAAAAGAGGTTGGAGTGGATGTTAGATTTCCTATAAAATGTAGTACAAAAGATTCATAAAAAAAATCCTATGGGATCCAACCCTATGAATCAAAGGGCCGACACAGGAAAAATTCATAAGGATTTCAATCCTCCAAAAATCCTATAGAATTCCTTTAAATCAAAGGAGCCCTCAAAGGTCGACCGTGTGTCCAGAATTTGCATAAACTCATCCAAAATAACATGCACACGTGAACACCCATGTACAGTCCAGTATGGAGACACGGATCTATTTGTGTACGACTGTCGAAAGAGAAAACGTAAGTCATGTGAAACAACAAGATGAAGCTAGTAAAGAGTTTTCTAACAGTTGATCATGTGTGAGGAATTTGTCAAAATTCATCTAAATTAGCTTCAAACATGAACACGAAAATTAAAATTTATAGTTCACTAAATAAGGAACCGATCGACTAAATGAAACCACAACGTCGACATACATATTTTTCATGTAGAGTTTATCTTAAATCAAAGCACTGTGTAGATTAGAAATGATGTGAGTAGGACCGACACTTGTCCTTCCTTACATCCCTCAAACGTGGACCTGGGTGAAAAGAGACACCCGATTTGAAATACTTAGCCAGACCCAATGGTACTTTGATACTTTAAACTTGTGCCGTACACGTGAAACATTAAACACACTCATCTAATAAATGGGCCAAAGGGCCTGGCTGAGGGGATGCAACATGACCCTAAGAGCATGAGCATGATTAATACTATAGCCAACTGCTGGCTATACAATGTTGTAGTGTCATATATAGTCATCACTTATAGTCACTCATACAACAAGGTTAGCTATAGAGTATAAAAGTATTACTTTTTTCACCTTCTCTCTATCTCATTTTTCATATTTATTGCATTTGTCTAGGAATGCGTATATAGTTAGGCTCTTGTATGAGAGTTCACTCCCATCATTTTTCATGTCGTCTTCTTCACAGTGCCAAAAGTATCATGTAAATGGGCTATAAACTCATTATTGTACTTCCACTAAGGGCATGTACAACGGGGGCACTTACGACGGGCGCCAGGGTTCGATTCCCTCCCGATTTGGTCAAATCCCCCCGATCCTAGGATTTGGGCTGACATCAATGCCTAGGCTGTCGTCGGGCGCTTCCCCCTTTTTTTCTGCGCGATCCTTTCTCCGTATCAATTTGGCACTGGGCGCTCCTTGGAGCGCTACAAATCTGCAATGGCTCAACTACCTCAGCTGGTCTTTGTTGAACGGAGCCAGCTGTACGCAACTAACTCACCTGATTTTCTTTTGCAGCTACACAAAAAATATATTTCTTGGTTCAAAAAAATATATGTTTTCTTTCTCTTCAGGCACAAAAATAATCTACAATAAAATATAGAGGTCCTTTATATCTATAATAATTCTCCATGAGACCTGAATACTTACAATAAAAAAATGCCAAAAATGAAATGCATGTGAATGTGAATGCATATTACACATTGGTTGTTTATTTTTCTCGAGATTTTATATTCTAGTTTCTTCATAATGTAATCTCAGCTCATTCACCTAGGGTTTATTTCGAATAACATATTTTTTCATTACTGATTTCAAATGATGTCCAAAGTTCTCTCAAAGCTATGTATCAGGTTTTGTATAGGTTACAACAGACTCAACCATTTAAATTTCTTAAGATGTGGATGTTCATACGGAACTATCCCCAGTGGAATGTGTTGTACTGTCAAGTCAAACAACCATGATTTATATAGGAAATTGTTGTTCTTATTCCAAGCTCTACTCCCTAAATTTCTTTTTAAGACTATGTGAATTCAGGACCAGTCAGTTTGGAACCTGTCAAAACTGTATATCAGCACATATTCTTCTCCTACATAATTAAAATTTCCCACGGGAAGAACATGACGGACTCAGATCACCATACACACATGTGTGCATCACCGCAACAGTCAACTCAATTTACCAGCGATTGGTACAACAATCGGAAGGGAATTACCTCGACCTCATACCTGGTCTCACGATGTCGGGTAAGCTTGTTCATCTTGTACGCCTCGCACTCGCGCGCCGATGCCTCCTCCGAACCTTCCCGTCGGCCAGCCTCGCCAAGAGCTCCTCCGGCCTCGTTCCCATAGGGGAAGGCGCGACTGCTGCCTCCTCTGCTCCACGGCCCCCTCCTCCTCCCGTCCGTTAGCGCCGCGCGAGCTCCTCCGGCATCGTCTCCATGTTGGAAGGCCCGGCTGCTGCTGCCTCATCCGCTTGCGCACCGCCCTCTTCATGTCCATCGACCTTGCCGCCAGCTGCGCTGGCCTCGTCTCCATGGGAAGGAAGACGCGGGCTGTTGCCTACTCCGCCCGCGCGCCGCCGTTCGCCGTGGCCGGCATCTGAGAGTGTGGGAGTTCGGCTTGGAGTTCTCCTCCGGCTCGCTGGATCTGACGAGGGTCGATGGTATTGTCAAGGGTGTGGAGAGTTCGAGAGAAGAGAGCAGAGTGAGCTGAGTGAGCTGAGTGAGGATTGACACAGTTGGCCGGTTCGTGTTCGGTTGGATCGATGGGCACCGATGCTTGTTTCCTGCGTTGGAGAGGCCGGCACTTGAGAATGTCGTCCGGAACGAAAAAAAATATAGATAAGCGCCCAATCTATCACTCCTTTTTTCTTTGAGGGGTGCCCAATCTAGCACTCCTGCGTTGGAAGCCCAAACTTTTACACCGGTGCTCCACCGTAATTTAATTTTGTTTTTTACACAAGCGTCCACACAGACGTCCCTGCATTGGAGATGTCCTAAGCCTTTTTTGCAAAACACGAAATGTTGGCCGTGGCCTTGTATATACTTGAAAATCTTAACAAATGATGATTGCCGGCAATCTAGGAGAGAGCCAACACGTAAAGCACCTATCCGCGGGTGGGAACAGGCGGCCAGGGCAAAAAGGAGCACGACAGAGCACGTGTTGACCCTCGCTGCGGCCGCCGTGCCCAGGCCAGTGCAGTTGCCTCACCAAACCACGGCTCGCACAGCCACAGAACCTGATGCTGCCCAACCCAACGCTCCATCCCAAACCGTTGCATCGAACCAAACGTCACGGGAACTCGCGAAGAAAACAAAACAAAACGAAGAGAGATTATTAGATTGTAGCAGAGCGCAATCCACGTCAGAGGAAGAGTAGAAAATGGAGGATAGTGTAAAAGCTGAGGAACAAAGCGGGGGAGAAGAGATAACAATAATAAATAAATAAACAAAGCGAAAGGAAAAGAAGAAAGGAAACGAAAGGTGGCGTAGGGGGAAGAGGAGGCTTTCGTCTTCGCAAGAGGAACTGGTCGCGCGTTCTGCAAGGTTCTCCGGGATGGCGTCGTCGGAGGTGGTGGAGGACGAGGCGTCGGCGGCGGCGATGCTCGCCAACGGGGCCGCGGACGTCCGCCGGAGGGTGGGTACTGCTACTCCCCCGCCCCGCCGTAGCCCTATGGCGCCGGCGCCTCTTTTCCCCCGATTACTCGTCTTCTGATTTTTCTGGGGGGTTATTTTGAATTGCAGAGGGACCAGGCCAAGGCGATGCTGTCGAAGCAGGCCGTCAAGATCGCCACCAAGGCAGAGGAGCACGAGCGCTTCATCTTCAAGGTCTTTTCTCCGATCCCCCTTGCTTAATCTTCATCTTCTGGGCTTCTGGCTCCCCCCCAAATCTCGGCGTGCCCGTGTTCTATTCATTTCGCGGTTAAATTCGGCGCGCATTGATTGTGCTATGCAATGTTTCAACATGTGCTGGAGTAAGAGATATGCGGGCCTTGTGTACTGTTTTGTGGGCACTTTGGGTAGGCATGGATTACTGTGGTGATGAATCTCTTCATTTATTGCCATGTACTACTGCCATGGCTGTGACGCTGTTCGAATGTCTGTATGTGGGGAATGCTCTTACCTGGTGGTGCTGGCTTTTAATGTGCAGGTCACACACCTGATGGGTGTTCTTGGATTTGGGACATTTTGCTACCTCTTGGGTGCTAGTAAGCTATTGCCGAATCCATCTGTTGGGTTGCATGCTACTCCTGAAAGTTGTGGTCGGTACATCTTACAGTGCTCTGATTTCGTTTTGCAGGACCACAGGATGTGCCGTATGTGTATTGCCTGTTCTATGTCATATTTGTTCCTCTCAGGTGGATCTACTATCGCTACAAGAAGTGGCACTACTATCTTCTGGTGAGTCCATTTCAGTCCAATTTGTTGTGGTCGTCATTTTAACTGTGCTGGTTTCATTGCTTATATGTAATAGCTTCGTATCATTGTTATCTCAAGTCTCATGCACAACTGTCACGGTTATAAAGTGTCAACGTCAGTAGATACTGTAATAAGGCTTGATTTCATCAACCTCCAGCAATTGTTGAACTTGGATATTATCACGTATCTTGTTACGAAAGGCATACTATCATGTACTCCGTCTATCCGGATATGTAGGGTCTATTTCGTATTTTGTGAGTTACTTTGACCATCAACAAGTTCAATACTATATATGTATGTCACAAAGTATACTGCTGAATTCATATTTGAAAGGAGTTTCCAATCTCATATAGTAATTGATCTTGTTGACAGTCAAAGTAAATCTCGAAGTACGAATTCAGCCCTATATTTCCGGATGGATGGAGTATCTTGTTTACGTATCTGTACTATGTTCTTAATCGAGAAGAAAAGTGCTGCTCATAACATACAGTACTGATGTTTTTAATGCACCTTTACTTGATGACTGTTGTGCTTGTCGTTTGTCCAAGGCTGAAAGCTGACATTCTAGTTCTTTTTCATTCTGAAGTTTTAGTGTTACCTTTTGTTTGTTCCTAGTTCAAATGACACGAGTTTGATATTTTTTATAGTGCATTGCATTGCACTTCTCAAGCATTTTATTGGGCACAATACTATGGTGCATTACTAATAAATCACTGGGTTACAACCATTGATGTAATTTGCAGGATTTCTGCTACTATGCCAACACTTTTCTCCTTGTTATGATTCTCTTTTATCCAAAGGATGAAAAGCTTTTCATGGTTTGCTTCTCATTTGCAGAGGTATGAAAAGGATTATTGTGGGTTGCCTGGTTTCTTGTTCGCGCTTATAATATGTGTGCAATCATTTGTTTTTTCATTAAATCTTTGCAGGGTCCCCTTGCTTGGGCATTAATTGTATGGCGTTGCAGCTTGGTGTTCAGCTCATTTGATAAACTTGTTAGTGTTCTGATACACCTCTTGCCTGGTACGTTATTCACTTAAACAACCCAATTCAATGCGTAGGATGATGGGGAACTTTACTTTTCTTAGGAAAGCACCATCTTAGTCTAGTGAAACTATTTAACTATATTTTCTTTGGTGCTTATTGAAATTGTATGACACGAATGTGATATATGGAAGCCTTACAATGACTGCTCTGTTGTCATGTTATGCCAAGGAGAGTCTTGAGTATAAGCTGTAGTAGATATGAGCAATTTAAAGCTGCAAGGGGAGATTGAGTTTAAGCTAGATTAGGGCTCTCGGCTTGAAGTTTGTTCTGGATTCTCTGACTTTAGGGTTATGATGCCACTCTATTATTCATCCAGCAGTTCTTGCCAAATGTGTGACATGACTAAAAGAGGGCTTTTACAGGAATAGTTTTGTTCACTATCCGTTGGTGGAACCCACAAACATTTGCTGCCATGCATCCAGAAGGAAGAGCAGCAAGAGTCACATGGCCATATGTGGAGGACAAATCTTATCTGTGGACATGGCTATTTGTTGTTCCTCTAGCTGCTTACACCTTGTGGCAACTGATGTATTTCCTCATAGTTAATGTGCTGCGTCGACAAAGGCTGTTAAGGGATCCTGAAGTCATGACATCATACAGGTATGTCTTTTTGTATTTCGTGGTGGGTTATGCTGAATACCTATGAGTGGAACAATATGTATGCTCAGTGGTGCTTGTTGACCACCGGTGGAGACGCAGTCTATAAAATGGACCAAAACTGAGCCATAAGGAATTAAGGACTACTTGGTTCAGATAATTTGCCTGTTACCAATTGTAGCTTGAATTCCTCCCATCTTCTTTACTTCCTCTAAGTGTCTACTTACCCTTGCGTATTCTCCCATGTGAGAGAACCCGGTAATTTATCTTTATCAATATTGGCAGGGAACTGTCAAAGAAAGCACAGAAAGCAAACAACATCTGGTGGAGACTGAGCGGATTGCTTGGTGACAAGAATCGTCCGTTGATGTACATACTGCTTCAGGCACTGTTCACAGTGGCGACATTGGCTTTCACTGTACCCATATTCCTTTCATACCGACTGCATGGGATCTTCCAAGTACTAAAGGTGTGTGCTGCAACATGGAACGGTGGAAGCTTCATCCTGGAGGTGATGCCCAGACAAGTTGTCCAGAAGGAGAAGAAGAGACTTGAGATGAAGCCCATTGAACAGGCAAACTTGAAGGAGCACATGGATGATCCTTCAGGTAACCACCAGCATGCATCCGAAGAGCCAAGTCAGTGAGGAAACTGATTTGGGGCGCAAGATTAGATTTTCTGGTTACTGGTACTATCGTGTGACCTTGTTCCTTCTGTAAGAAAAGTTGCTATCGATGAATGTTCTGTTGGCTTGGGACATTTCAGGGCTGTTTATGGTGGGATCGCTAGTTAGGGTGTGTGGGCATGTTTGACATAGCAAAGGGTGGTGGTTCAAATGCTATCAGCGCATTTTATGCCAACTTTGTCTCTAGGGTTTTCAATGTGTGTTGAGTGTGCTGAGATAGTTTTTTTTTTCCTTTTTAAAGAGAGCTTTGGCATTAGTGGTTAGACATGGTTATGCAGTGCAGCCTGATCATCTGGGTTCAATTCCTAGAATTGATGTGTCATTCCCGCATTTTATTCCTTAAGGACCAAGCTTCGTGCATCATGAGATCACTCAAGATAAAAATCTTGGTACTCATGAAAAGAAAAAGAAACTAAGGACTTGGTTTCATGTATGGCGGGACAACACATCAACATAAAATCATGTTACTGCCGTCAGCTCGCAGCCAGCCTCGCGCGAATGTTTTGTTCCCTATGGGACAAGGGAAACCAGCGAACAATAGGTCCTCCTCCCCTCGCATGTTTCAGCGCGACCTCATTTCTCCCAGAAATGCCTTAACGGGCCAAAAAAAAGCAAATTTCATCTTGAGCCTGGATGTTTCTACAAGACAAATTGTCGTGCTCAACCAAAAAAGAAAAAGAAAAATACACAATTAAAAACTGCCACCTCTTTAGATAAAAATGTCATGAACAAAAAATACACATACATTTATAAAATTTCATGCTCTGAAAAATGTGAAAATTGTCATGCTACTTTATAAAACTGCATTCTTCTAGATAATCTTTTTATCTGGATAATCCCCAATAAAAATTTCCATGCCATTAAAAATAAAAAAACCATCCTCCCAACACTAAAAATGCCATCCTCTCAATGATAAAGTGCCATCCTTTCAATGATAAAATGCCATCCTATTATTAATAAAAACGCATGTGCTTAGTAATAAAATTTGTCATGCATTAAAAATGAAAATGTCAACCTCTCAAAATAATAAAAATGTCATCCCATTATTAATAAAGATGCTAGGCGATTAATAGTTAAAGTGCCATGCCATTGAGAAAAAACGACTTCCTCTCAATAATAATATTGACATCCTATTATTAATAAAAATGCCATGTGAAAAAAAAACTTGACTTGAGAACATTATAAAAAATATTTAAATTCGCCATGTGCAAAGTTTCACAAAAAATATAAAAACTGCCATGTTAAATTCTTTTAGAAAAAATGCCATGCACCTAAGCAAAAAAGAACATAATTTGTCATCTTGTAAAAAAAGGCGAAAAAAAGGAGGGAGCAGAATTCAAACTATGGTCTCCTAGTGTGGTGTGCGGGTAGTGTTTTGACTAGTACAGTGTTCGCTGACTTTTCTATTCACAGCGAACGAGTTAATAAATCTGACGTGTCTCATGTCCGTGTGCCAAGATTCGTGCAATGGATCTGATGGGAGAGAGCACTTTCGTCAGGATGGGCCCCCTGACAAACGTTCACCGGTTAGCTTTTCCCTACATAAAATTGTTGCGTGCCTTCCTAGTTGGTACAAAGTCTAGGAGAAATGAATTTCTCTTCCAAACTTTACGGCATGTTGAAAGTGCAACTAATCTCTGGGTGGTTTTGGTAATTCTTAACAATATATAGCTAATTAAACTAATGCTCTTGCATTTTAGAAAGTTCAATGATTGGCATGAAATGGACTAGAGATGTGGAGCCCTCAAAATGCTAAGGACACATATTGGCAACAAGCTCAAGACTCTACATTTCTATTTAAGTGATCCAAGATCACATTGAGTCCATAGGAAAGCCAATACTATTAAAAGGGGATGAGGTGTTGCTTAATGGCTTACTTGCTCAAAATGCTTAGTGATATGCTCCAAAACCCTCAACCACTTTCTCATTTCCACATATGTCCTAAACCTAAAGTCAAACTCAGCCCCACCAATTTGATATATCTGGCGCCACCGAGTTCATTTGACATAGCCACTGCCACAAACCCTAATCAGTTCGGTTTCACCGATAGGGATCTTGGTCCCACCGAGTCAGCAATGCAAATTCACTCTTTCCTTTTTGTAACACCGAAGTGAGCGAATCGGTCCCACCGAGTTTGCCTGATCAACTCTCTATGTGCCTACTACTGAAATCGGTCTCACCGAGTTCATGTGATCGGTCACACTGAGATTACGTTATGCTCTAACCCTAGCACATCGGTCCAACCGAGTTGATTGTATCGGTCCCACCGAAAAGCCTAACATTCATTTTTTGACCTGAATCGGTCTGATCGAGTTTTACCATTCGGTCTCACCGAGTTTGGGAATCTGTGTGTAAAGAACCACCTACTCATGTGTTGAGACCAAGATATTCCATTCCAACCACAAGAATCTTGATCTCTAGCCTCCCCTAGTTGCTTTTCACTCAAATCATCTTTTCATCATAGCCAAATCTGTGAGAGAGAGTTGAGTGTTGGCGAGACTATCATTTGGAGCACAAGAGCAAGGAGTTCATCATCAACACACCATCTATTACCTTTTGGAGAGTGGTGTTTCCTAGATTGGTTAGGTGTCACTTGGGAGCCTCCGTCAAGATTGTGGAGTTGAACCAAGGAGTTTGTAAGGGCAAGGAGATCGCCTACTTTATGAAGATCTACCCTAGTGAGGCAAGTCCTTCATAGGCGATGGCCATGGTGGGATAGACAAGGTTGCTTCTTCGTGAACCCTTCGTGGGTGGAGCCCTCCGTGGACTCGCGCAACCGTTACCCTTCGTGGGTTGAAGTCTGCATAAACGTGGACGTACGATAGCACCACCTATCATAACCAGGCCAAAAATCTCCATGTCAACATTGCGTTTGCTCCCTCCAAACTCCTCCCATTTACTTTCTTGCAAGTTGCATGCTTTACTTTCCGCTGCTCATATACTCTTTGCATGCTTGCTTGAATTGTATTATGATTGCTTGACTTGTGCTAAGTTGCTAAAATCTGCCAAGAATGAAAATTGGGAAAAGGTTAAGTTTTTATTTGGCCAAGTAGTCTAATCACCCCCCTTTAGACATACTTTCAATCCTACAAGTGGTATCAAAGCTTTGGTCTCCATTTTCTTTGATTTTCATAGATTTGGTGATCATAGCCTTGGTTTCACAACCTAGGAGAGTATGGCGTCTAGCGAGGGAAATTACCACCGTAGAGGTCCTTACTTTGATGGTACTAATTTTGCTAGTTGGAAACATAAGATGAAAATGCATATTCTGGGACATAACCCCGTCGTTTGGGCTATTGTGTGTATTGGTTTAGAAAGTGAATTCTTCGATGAGAGAGAACCGAATCGTGAAGCTACCGCGGAAGAATTGAAGATGTTGCAATAAAATGCTCAAGCTTGCGATATCCTCTTCAACGGATTATGCCCCGAAGAATTCAACAAAATCAGCCGTCTTGAGAATGCAAAGAAAATTTGGGATACTTTAATTTATATGCACGAAGGTATCGACTCCGTCAAGGAATCCAAGTTGGATGTGCTTCAAAGCCAACTTGACAAGTTCAAAATAAAGGATGGTGAAGGTGTCGCTGAAATGTACTCTAGGCTTGCTCTCATCACAAATGAGATTGTCGGCTTAGGAAGTGAAGAGATGACCGACAAATTCATCATCAAAAAGATCTTGAGAGCCTTGGATGGAAAATATGATACTGTGTGCACTTTGATCCAAATGATGCCAAACAACAAAGATCTCAAGCCAACCGAAGTCATTGGAAGAATCGTTGCTCATGAGATGTCACTCAAGGATAATGAAGAGCTTCACAACAAGTCTAGTGGTGCTTACAAAGCCTCATGTGATACTCCTACATCATCAAATGAGAGACAAGCCTTCAATGAAGAATTGAGCTTAATGGTGAAGAACTTCAACAGATTCTACAAGAGTAGAAGCAAGGAAAGAAGTTCCAAGTCAAGGTCCTACAATGACAAAAGATCTTCTAGTCATGAGTGAAATTGCTACAATTGTGGAAGACCTAGACACTACTCCAATGAGTTTACAACTCCCTACAAAAGAAGAGAAGACTCACCTAAAAGGAGAAGCAAAAGGGAAGAATCACCTCCAAGAGAGAGAAGGAGCAGAGATGATCGCTATGAACGAAGAACCTCTCGAAGTAGCAAGGATTCAGAAAGAAAGGAAAAATCATCAAGGATCCACACAAAATGAAGACATCAAGCTCATGTTGGTGAATGGGTATCCGACTCCGACTTCGATCACCACTCTGAGAGAAGTTATCACTCCGACTACGAATATACTCAATATGAAGGTGTTGCCGGTCTAGCACTTGTCAACCAACTCCTATGACATATTTGATTCACCAAATGAAGGATTTAGGAGATGCTTCATGGCTAAAGGCCCCAAGGTAACACACCCCGAGTATGTTGATTTCAATAGTGATGAAGATGACTTGCTAGGTGATGATGATTTACTTGTTGACAACTCTAGTGATGAATATTATGATGAAAATGCTATTAATCATGCTAATCAAGATGAAACGAATGACAATGATAAGAAGGAGATTGAGCGTTTGACTAAAGAACGAAACATTAAGTTAGCTCATGAAACTACTTTCAAAGATCATCGAGAACTTTTAAAAACTCATGAGAAGCTACGCTTCGAGAAGCTCAATCTTGAGCAACAACATGGGTTCTTAAAGGCCATCAATGATGATCTTCGGGATAAAAGTTCTTCTTACATTGCCAAGCGTTTACTCTTGTCTACTTACATGCCACAAGTAAAATCTAGCAACAAGAACAAGAAAGATTCTTCTTCTAGTAGTAACAATAATCATGCTAAATCCAATATTGTTGCTTCTAGTAGTTCTCTTGATTCCACTAATGATTCTCTTAGCCAAGTTACACTTGAGCAAGAAAATAGCTTATTTAAGGGTATTATAGAGAAAGGTGTTTAC